TGAAAAAAATAATGCCTGATATGACAGACTGATGTGCTCTAAACAAAACTATATGTGACCCATTTGACAAGGACAGAGCAAATCTAATGAGTAGAAAAAGAGATTTAAAGGTATAGAAAAATATTTTGGCAAACTCTCAATGCTCTAAACATCTGAGACCAAAGTTAAAATTACAATTAGATGGAATTGGGATTGAAGTTCTACTAAATATTAAAGCAGATGTAATGATAATTTTAACAGACTCTTGGGATTCAATTTGGACACCACAAAATTATTTATGCTTTAGTTGGGGATTGCTACATTTTCTCAGATAAAACAGAGACTAAATAGACTTAATGTATTGAACCAAAAGGTTAGGTATTGAGATGAAAGTTATATGTGGCAGATATTGACATGGAATTATGTGGAAGTAATCTATAACAGTGGAAAGAACAAACAAATGTTTCTGCAACTTCATGAAAAAAGCCAGAAAATAAGGCATATTCTTGATAAAGATTGAAAAATGTTATAAAAATAATTAAAGACTATCCATTATCAGGATATGGGATATTTTGACTCTCCAAATGTGTGGAGTGGGTCACTTCCTTATTCCATTCAAATGGTTAACTTATAAACATTTGTCATGTAGAACAATGACCATTAACTAAGAAAAAAATTACAGGCCAAGAAGTAGAGAAGACTGAACATATAGAAGAGTTCACCTGATCTTAGAAGTATTTATATATCATTTAAAAATTCAGAAAGTTGTAAATTTTAACATATTTAAGAGCTATAATTAAGGTAATTTAGCCTATTTTTTCTGTGTAAATAGATTGTCCTTAATATTTTTTGTACAAATCACAGTATATCTTAGTGATTAATTTAAAGATTGCTTTTTTTAAGAACAAAATAAGAAAAATACTCTCCACTGTGCCCACATTCCTTAATAAAAGATTCTACAAAAAGATATCAATAAAAACCTATGGCATAAGGAATATTTAAATTAATTTTTTGTTGGTTATTTTATTTACATTTCAGGTGTTATTCCCTAAACAGACTTGCCATTTCTCAATAATTTTTAAAACAGACACAAAACCAGTAAACAGCTTTCCCACTCTATAATTTATCATGAAATAGGTGCTATAATTTTGACTAATCCCAATACTGATACTTTAAAATATATACTAATTGAAAGAAAACAATTTTGCCTTGTTGGATTTTACAAATTGTTTCAGGAAAAAAATACAAAGAGTAGAGTATTAACTATTTAGAATATAAGAGAGGTCTACAGAAAAGTCAATAACAAAAAGTACAGTTTAGGCATGATCAGTTATACACTGTTATTTATTACTGGGAGATATTATATTATTAACATTTTTCTTACTTAAGTCACAGTATATCTTAGGGATTAACACTAATCCTTAGATCACCATGGAATTAAGTTCTCAAGAGGTATTTATGACTGTCATTGAAAAAACTTTACACATGAAAACTGATAATGGCCTGGTTTATGTATACAGTAAAATGAAACATTTTTTAAATATTGTAACATAAAACATACTATGGCATTCTGTACAATCCTACAGATCAAAGAGTTGTGAAAAATCTAACTTATTCAAATAAAATAATAATAAAACTGAAGAGGGATATGCAATCTCCTAGACATGGATTACTTAATGCTTTAATAACTTAAAAATTTTGAATGTCAGTAAATCAGTCTTAAATCTCTTGACTCCTGACATGGAAAGTACAACGGAGGAGACCCAGAAGATAGTAAAGCAGAGGAAGATGTGAAAGTTGATCCCCTTACATGCGAACAGCTTGAAGAGAGGTGAAAAAACCTTTGAGTACTTATTACCTCTTCATGATTATGATATTTGTGGTAATTATACATATAACAGTGGTCAAATTTTTTTTCCTGAACACCTGCAACTAGCCATGGAATAAGTGGAGGAGACATAAATGTCTCTCCAGTAGCTAATAAAGCTTTTTGGCAACACTGGATTACTTGATTTATTGTTGCATGTCATCCATTCATAAAGCATTATTGTGGATATGAACCAATATTACAGTTTCTTTATGTAGTCCAAAATGCGTTAAAAACATGGACAGGTGTTACTCATATGCTCATGCATAGACAGACCCAACATTTGCAGTTAGTGCACAACACAAATTTTATACTATATTAATTTTAAAAAAGTCCCTACAATGTGACTTTTAAAATTTTGTGGATTTTCAGAGCAAACCCACCAGACACAAATAAAGTTAATATCATCCTGAAAGATTTATCTTGAAGATGATAAGTTCAACATCTCTTCCTCTGAGTCTTGCCTGGTACTAGTATTTCCTACAAACCTGCATATAAGGCAGCTTCAAAGAGGCTAACCTTAAGTGTTCCAGCCTCACAGAGTGGACCAGGTAGGCCTGCAGTTTACTAGTAACAGATGGTACCCAAAAGCCTGTATATTGAATGAAAAAGCCAGGTTTCCCAAGAATTAACCAACATCTCAATTTAAGTTTGGTGTCCAAACATATTGTTGCCACCAGACAACAGGAAGCTTTCCTTTGAGAGGTGGTGTGAATGGTTCCTGTTGTTAGTTTTTGGTAATATAGGAAGTTTTGTTGCAAGTTCTTAATGTTAAGGGATGAAAGAAAAAAATATATTCAGGGATCTGTTTCTCTCTCTCTCATTTCTCTTTTCTCTTCTGTCTAGTGTTAGGGCATGAAATTGGGGGAAATTATGTGGTAAAAAGGAAAAGGAGGGTAAAATATTTAGAATAATAAAGTGACAAAAGTATGGAATATCTTAAATTGGTAAGGATTAATAAAAGATGGCTAAAAATTTAATATTATAAATACCTAATTGTAATAACAGTAATTAATTTAAGACGTATGTCTAACTACTTGTCTTTGCTAATTTCTCATCACCAAGCTGTTAAATATATGTTTGTTGGTATCCTCTTTCTCAAGGTTGGTGATTTATACAAAAGACCCAATCCATCAGAAGTTTGAAGAAGGTGCCGGTTTGCTAAAAAGGGAGTAATTCTCCTTATTTCTGGGAAGAGGATCTCATGTCCTTTCCATTAATGTAGGACTGGTACTTGTTGCCATGTGAAGGTTAATGCTGGCTACTAGGACTTCTCCATGATTTTTAGGAAGACAGTTTTGTCAAATTAGTGTTATCCTATTTCATTTTACCCATGGAATGATTATTTAGGTTACTTCATTATGTATGTTCTCACAGTCAGTTAAGTGGCCTATCTCCTTATGGACTGTCCCTAAAACATTTGCTTTGATAAAAAAGAGCTGTATTTTAAATTCCTTATTTTAAATTTCTAGACATATAAAAGCTACTATTATAAACTGTTAGTAATAATTAAGAAATTCACATTGGAAATCAGTAACTTTATAAATAATAAAATCCTTTAATGCATTCATTAAATTAAATCCATTGTAATTATGCTCTGAATTGATGCACTTAATTAAATGAATAAGCCTTACATTGTCTTTTCTATGTGTGTTCCAGCTTAATCTTAGGAAAATTAACAAGAACCAAGCAAATGTTTTGTATTTAGATAGACTTTAGATTATATTGGTAGTTCTTACACACTTTAGGAATCTTCAGAATGTGACATTTAAAATAGTTTAATTATAAAAAAAGCTATTTGTGATAGAGAGATACATCAAGTTATAGATGCACTCTGAATCTTTTCATAAGAAGATGATGTGTTAAAATCAGTCTACACTTTGTGTTTGCTACGAATGTGTCAAAACTGGTCACTTGGCTATAAAGTGCCCTTTTCCTTGATGAATGACAGTAGAGGCCAAATGGTTGACAGACAAGATACTAAATAGTCAGTTTCCTGAAGTCCCCTAGACAAGGTAGGACACTCTTCCAAAGTTTCTGCTTCAATGTCAGGTCCCTCAGAACTTCTTTCCCTGGCTGTCAAAGATGGATGTCTCTACTGCTATTGATAAACTTTTGTTGACTGTCCAAGTATCTAGTAAATCTCTGTCATTCTATTTAACACAGAAGGTCCTTGGTTACCACATCTTGCTTACTAAGGTATCATTTATCCCTCTCAGGTCTTTAATTGGTTTGCAAAATAGAATAATGATAGACTTCATAAGTTCAGAACTCAAAATTTATCATTGAAGTTTTGAAATCATAGTTATAGTCACTAGCCCCAAATCTAAAATTTCGTCTGTTTGCCTTCTAAGTATAAATTTTTAATGGAGTTTTTCATGTGCTTGTTAGACACAAACCCTCTACAGAATTTAGGATTCAACAAGATAGAATAGAGTGCAGAAGCACTATGTTGAAAGTTGTTAAATACAAATGACCTTGGCACTGTAATAATAATACTTACACTAAGACTTCTCATGTTTTCTTATTGTATATGTTTACAGATATTAGAGATAAAGTCCTTTTCTTGGACTAAAAACAGGAAATGTTGGGATAAGTTACACCAATGAATATTGTATACAGTGCCTTGGACATTGTTTCCTATAATTCATACTTGTTTGTTGTCATTAAAAAACTTTGCAATGTATTAATTTTTATTGTTTGTTTTATTTTACCTGCAATGCTTTCTTTTTAGCCTTTTCCTTTTTCACTTAGTTGGCTTTTTATGATGTAACCTGTGAAGATGAGCTTAAATTGTTTTTCATATTAAAAGTTTCTTGCTTCATATCGTTAGCCAATTCATCCCAAGAGAAGGTCAACCCTCAGCTCGTGCTGTTTATAGTCTTTGCTGAAGTTATACTGCCTTTGGCTAGTGAGGAATACAAAAAACCATATTTGTGAACTTGTTGTTCACTTGAATAGAGGGTTCATCAACACAGTCCACAAGAAAGGGTAGTTTCAAAATTCCCAGTGGCTTTTCCAATCCCGAAGAATGATTAGTGTGACAGACTGAGTCATCAACATATTCAAAACATACATGGTCAAAAAAACATGAACAGAGTATATCTGTGCTGGACACTATGTTCTGCAACAAGAAGACCAATGTACTAGTAGGATGTTCTCCTGGATTTTTATCTTCTGGCTCCTGCAAAATCCAAAATTTGTTTCTGCTATTATGTTTAATATCAGTAGATGTTATTACATAATCACTGAAGAGTTTCACCATGAAAGAGATGTTATGATTGGTGCATTTTTCCCTCTTCATACTTTCTACACTGGGAAGAAAATACCACATTCAACTTTGCCATATGAATATTTAGACAATTACATACAGTGAGTACAGTTATTTAATTTTTTGAGTTCTGAATTCTTATGATTTAGAGGGTATAGTCATTAAAATTTGCTTATTATTTATTTTTATTTTGGCAAATTTACTCAGAATTTTTAATACATTTTTAACAATTTTATTTTGGTATTGAGTTATATTCCTCACTCAGTGGGAAATGAAGTATTAACATTAACTGTATTCATTTTAGTAAATGATTGATAACAATAACATCTTATTTGCCATACTTGTTATGCCCCAATGTCTGAATAGTTTTCATTGTTATGATTTCAAAGAAGGATGATTTATTATATGTCTGATATTGTTCATAGCGTTTTGGAAGTCCTGACTGTGCCTGTGATATTAGATGTTGTTATTGAATGCAATAAGTTCTGAGTGTTTATTGTGATTCTAGAGTGAAGAGGCCATGTGTGTTACATACAGCTGATTCCACAGTTAGCAGTGTCACAGTTAGAAGTCGTGAATAGTTCTGTTCTACTTAGATATAGTATTTATCTCATATTTTACTATAATTGTTTGATAATTTAATTTTTATTCTCAGACAGCTTTCCTGTGTTTACCTATTTACTCCATTGGTTTGCAGTATTTATTCTTCTTTTTATATATGTGTCTAGCATAATATAGTGAGTATGAATGTTTCATCTTGGTGCTTTTTCTTAACTTGAGTTAAATAACTCAGGCTAATGGATAATGTAAGACAAGTATTGATTAGTAAATATTCATGTATGTTTCTTAATAAAGTAAATAAGATGTTTTTATCTAAACCAGGCCTTCCTTTCCCTAGAATATTTTCTTATATCTGTATGGATATAGGCCGTATGCCATGGAAATAGAACAAATGCACTTATATATACCTGAAATACAAGAAGAAATGTGTTGGAAATCAACAAGTAGAAAATGACCAAAAATACCAATGAAAAATTTTATAATCTCTAAAAGTAAATTTGTCAAAATAACTTTAAAAAAATCAAAGAATGTTTGAAGGTAAATTATGCTCTGTATGACAATTCTCTGTGGTTGGAAAAACATTTCAAGGTTTTAAGGCATTACATCAAAGAGAGTGGAAGAAAAAACTTTTTAGATTTAATTAACACTTAATGGTTTATTTCTTTGACAGATATATTTTGAATTTTAAAACATCAATCACGGTTAGATAAAATATCTTATTTGGATAAAAAATTTCATGGTATTTCTACTTTTTTAATAAGTCAAATTTTGACTCAAAGGAAAAAATATTTTCTCACATGCATAATAGATGGAATAACTTTTGTTGTTGGGTGGGGCCTCTTTTACTTCATTATAATTAATGGTCCTTATAAATCCTAATGGATATTTATGTAAACATTCACTGTTGTAAACTTATATTTCAATTTATGGTTTCATTTTATGTGTGAACCTGTGGTGAAATTTTTAACACATGATCATCATGTATCCTGAATGATGGATAAGCACTGAGGACAAAGAGAAGAGTCAGAGGAACTGAACCAAGGACAACATTTTTAGATAGAATACCTTGTAAACAACGAGAAACTAAAAAATTTCCCCTTGCCCCTCTTAGGATCTTTCTGCTTTTCCCACTTTCCTTAGATAACTTTCATTGGAAACATTTGACAACTTAGAAATGAAATCTCTAATTACTTTGCAAAGTGTTCCTTTTTCTTCCTGAGACATTCAACTAGCAGACTGAAAGTTATACCTGTGAAATTCCTACTGAGATAGATCAAAAGCCACATTACTTAATCCCTATTTGCCAGGTTACAGATGTCAATCTTCTAAACTAGAAGATTCTTGCCCTCAGAAAGAGCTAGAAAGCTTTTAGCACTTTTAAAATTTATCACCATCATTTCAGTATAGGTAGAGAGCTAGAATACTCAGAGACCCTAAGAATTTAAAGCCACACTAGGGTCCTACTCTGTGCCCTGTTTGTACTCACTTCAAGCCAAGAAGCTCCTGGCATCTAAATTTGAGCCTGGTAACAGAGATTTTCCTGGAAAATGGAAAGTAAGTCCACAGAGATAGGACTTTCAACTGGGTCTTGCAAAAGCCTCTGGCCATGGACTGCATGTTTAGATGTGTGAGACATGAGAGCTTATATTGCCTACTGCCATCAGTAGAGGCTGATATTGGGTACCATCAATACCTGAATTATGCTGGGAGCCATCAGCTCTGGGTTGAATTGCTTGCTGCCATCAGGCAGTTCTTTCTTCACTTCTGTTGGAAGCTATCATCACCAACCTTAGATCAGGAGCCATCAGCTCTGGGTTGTGTGCATTTTATGTGTATCTCTCAAGATGGGACAAATTGAATCTATTGACAGAAAGTTCTTTAAAGATGTTATGAAGCATACATGTATGACAGGCCTATTGCTGAATTTACGCCTATGGCTGATTTTAGGCCTTCAGTGTGTAAGCAAGGCTGCCCCTGACATCTCCCTTCTCTAAGTATAGAAGGGCTGTGGCAATTCTAAACTTGTGAAGGCGGGGATAGAGGCCTGACCTCCAGTATTTGAAGGGGACCTGGTAATGACTACAGTCCCCCTGTCATTGTCCAGTGAGGCATGAGGGCCATCCCCATGTCTTTTTCCTGGAGAGGGGATACTTTTGACATCAACCCCTATGCAGTCAGGCTTGTCCCTCAGGGAACCCAGATAGATATTTTTATCTTTTATTTATATTCCCTTGCAGTGCTTAGCCTCACAGCCTAAGCAAGAATTCAGATCTCCTGACAGAGGGGGCTCTGGGTGGCCCATCTCTGCTTGGTCTAGGGGAAGAAGTTCCCCCTTTTAGGTTGGGTGGAAATGGGTTTTGGAAACACCCTGTATAAAGTAACAACCTCATCTTGAGTCTCGTGGTCCTCCATAGCTAACTTGGGTCTCAGTGGAAAAACATTGAAACAGATGGCTATAAGCTAATGTAAACAGGCAGCTTTTGTGGAAATTTACAAGCCTGAGTAGCCATAGACCTGGTAAATAGGTAGCCTTGGCAGATAATACCAACTTAGATAAGGACAAGCGAGTCATAGGCAGAGTCATAGTGAATTGTCCCCTGAACCTTCACCCAGCCGATACCCGGTTCTGAAGTTATCTGTATTCCCCCTGAACACCCACACTCCAGTGTCATTCCCTTCCCCACATCCTGTCTTTCTGTGTTTATAACCCCTGTATGAATGAACTACGATTTGAGAAAAAATAAATTAAAAAACAGTTGTAAATAAAAAAAGATGTTATGAAGCATACTCTTTTTAAAAAGGGAATTAAGGCTGGCATTAGCAAGCTGATTGACTTTCTTACGTTTGTACAAATGGTTAGTCCTTGGCTTCCATGAAGGAGAATTGTTATGTTATATATCAATACATGGGAGAAAATAGGGTTAGATATTAAAAACTGGTTTACAGAGAACTGAAGATTAGCCTTTGCTATTTACAGCCTTTGCTATTTGGACTGTGATCAGGAAGGCATTGGCAGATTGCTGGAAAAAAAAAAAACAAAAAAAAAGAAAAAGTAAAAGAAAAAAAGCCATATGTGCTAAGGGGATATTAGATTCACCTCCTTGTGAGGGGAATCCCTTACTATTGTCGCAATCAGGATCTAAGAACAATGTTTATTCCTTGACATAAACATCTGAGAAAAGTAGCTCAGGAGAGGGTAGTAATAAATCAAAAGAAGAAAAATCAACCTCAGAGGAGGAAACTAACTCAGGAAAGAAAGTAACAAAATATGAATATAAGTGCCCTACTCTGAAGCATTTAAATATAAGTAATTTCATAAGATACCCTGAAAAAAAAAGGAAACCAAAGTGGCCTATTGGATCTGCTGCTGTTGTACTCCCAACTCAGCATCAGGGTAAATAATTAGGTTGTTTTCCAGTGAGTATGAAGAATAACAAATAGGATAAGGATCCCTTTTAAGAACCCTTGCCATTTAAATTGCATATGAGACTTCATGATAAATTTGAAATAACCAGTGCCTACCTAACTAAAGATGAAGTTTTACTATGTCTGTATACATATAAGAACTTGGCACGAACAGGGTTATCTAAGATATCTGAAAGAAAAGAGAAGAATGAAAGTGTTAACATATAAAATGTTTATGAGTATAGGGAATGGTTTGAAAGAACAACTCATTGACAAATGAAAAAGGAAATTCTAACAAAAATAGTAACTTGAGCTCTAGAATCATGGAAATGCTTGTGTAATAGAGATACAAATACCTAAAGGCTTGTTAATGTAGTACAGAAACAAGAAAAAATGTTTATGACTCTGTTGCTCAGCTGATAGAAGCTCTGAAGGAAAAGATGTTGTTTTAAATCTGGCCTTTGTGAATGCTGCACCCACTTGTCAATCTTTTCTGAAGACAACTGAAAAATCTGGAAATTAATTTTAAGCATGTGCTGAGGTTGTTACTTCATATTTTCAAGGTGAACTCATTACAAAAATCTCACAAGGCCAGAAGACTACTCAAAATCTTACTAAGGTTTGATTTTTCTGTGAATTGTTCCTTCAAACCATTCCCCATATCCATAAACATTTCACATGTTAATACTTTCCTTCATCTCTATTCTTTCAAACATCTTAGATAACTCTTTCTTTGGTATTTTTTATTGGATATTTTATTTATTTGAATTTCAGATTTTATCCTCTTTTTCTATCTCACCCCCCACCCCATTAAACCCATATCCCATCCACCATCCTCCTTTCTGCTTTTATACCATTTTAATTTCATCAATTATTAAGGTGAGTTCTAGGTTGAGGAACTAGTCATACAGTAGATACAAATAGTCAAGGAACAAACAGTACAATAAACACCAATCATCACAGAACATGCAAGGCACTAAACAGAGTTCCATGATCATGCCCTTGAACACAATGTCTAAGGGCTTATCAGGATGACAAAAATATCTGAGCCTACTTTCCTGTCCTATCCCAAAGTGATTTTCATTTCTTAAGCTTATTTCTTTTTTCTAGCCTAAAATTAGATTCCTGTCTGAAA